AGAGCTAGATGTGACATCAGTCCACAAAAATTATCAAGAATCTATTACTCTGAGCATAATTACCATTTCTTTCTTCAGTTATTTAAACTTGATTGTGTTACTGTCTTAATCTAATCTAGAAGTCAGTGTTTTGCAGATCAATGAAAGTAAGCCTTAGTAGTTGAGAGAATTAGAGGGTTCTCTCTTCTAGACTTCCACATAAAGAGTCTTGTTTAACAGTTGTTCCTTCAAGTGATCCCACTTTCCTTTTTTTTCAGTAGCTGGGAGGGGGCATGGCTAGGACCCAGAAGTTATCCTATACCACTTCACATCATTGCCCAGGGCAGGGGAAATATAGACCCTTTTCCAGAGAGAAGGGGTTCCTTCCAGCTGGAGGGAGCTGGCTGGTATTGTTTTTCTTTCTTTTTTTTTTCTTTCATGTGAATTGTTTCTTTTCTTATACTCTCCATGATTAATATTGTTGCTATTCCTTATCTCCTTGCTGTTTCCAGTAAATTGTTCTTAACTCAACCTGTGATCTTTGCCTTTTGTGTCTCTAATTCTCCTCTTCATTCCACTGCAGCAGGGAGGGGGAGGGGACAGCATGCTTTGGAGAATCTCAGTGTGGGCACTGAATTGGGGAGTACTGTTGGTAAACCATGACAGTGTGTCACAGAACTAACCCCTTTTTTCTGCCTGAAATGGCCTCTCTTGAAACTGCACCCACTACAAAAGAGGAAACATAATTCTCATCTATGTGTTGGAAGGATACTTTGCAAGAAATGCCTTTTTCTAGCATTTTTGTTTGTCCTCTTTAACTTAAACATCTCAGACTACTTAGAAGATGACAGACTGAGATGGAGATGAGGAAGAGGTGAGGAAACTAAGAGGGACAGAATTTACAGAAATATCAGATTGCAAGGATGAGCCACGTTTCAGGAGTTAACAAGGGGGCAGATGAGCATAGGATCAAAATAGGAAAGAAAAAATACTAGATGCGAAGGGATAGTATGTATTTCATATCTAAACTGTCAACATAATTTGGCCAGTATGGAGTTTTAAACTGTCTAGTTATCTTAGATTAAGAAACCCTGGATTATAGAAAAACGAGTAGGATCAATCTCACCTTCCTTTAGGCAGTTGTAGAAAAGGTGATATACTTCCTATCAGTAAAAAAAAAGTCAACAGTCAACAAAATAAATAAAATGTAGACTTTGATTCATCTAATCAGACGTAGGCATCTGCTTTAGGATAAGATGAAGCGTGCTGTGAACTCCAGTCACTGTTGTCTTTTTGTTGACTGTGAAAAAGTAGCATAGGATCATTTGATCAGGTGTTAATGCCTATAGACTATGCCATTTAACCCTATCAGTCTCACCTTTTGAAATCTTTTAGCTAATCATTCACTGTATCTCAGCAACTAAATGCTTCATTTGCAAGCCTTACTCCCAAATACTAGAAGGCAGATAATCACCTTAATATGAACAAATAGAAGTTACTGACAGTCACGTTATTATCAAGAGTTACAGTCTTGTGGATAAATCTCTACATATCAAATACAGCTATGATCCCTGGATTAGAGGAAATCCTAGAAATGTAGACCCATTCCCATCTAATATGGACCTCTTGGATATTTTCAGTCCTGCGAACTTTCAGGTAGCTATGGCCTACCACCATAACTATTTCAAATTCAGCTATTCCACCACCTGTGAAGATCCTTGTAGACATTACAATGGCACACAGTGAGGTCAAAATGGTGTTGACCTTTCAAATGAACTTGATTCCATGACCTGCACTTTGCCCACTAATTAGAACATTCTTTATTCTGCCAAACAGAAGAACAACTGCCCTCCTGACTTCACCAGGAGTGCTACTGTTGTGTGTTTGCTGACCAAGGCGATTGTCCACTTCAAACTGGAAGCTCTGTAGGCATATGGTAAAACTTCCTGCCTGGCTGACATTGTCTGGTAGTTTCCAAAGCTGGATTAATGAATGCTGTTCAACCATGTTTGCTACCACTGTCAGAAGTCAAACTGGCCTGACTTTATAATCTTCCTAGACTGCTCCATTACTGCATTCCATACAACTTTTCTACTAGAAACGCTTACATGGAATGTTAGGAAAGCCATTTAGGAAGCTGGCAGTAAGGTTGGTTTCAACAGACAAAATTTTGTCAGAAATTGACACATCCTGCCTCCAGTGAGAAACCTGTGAAGTACCTCAAGAAATAAGAAAGAAAGGGTGATTTAGAAAATTCACCATGCAACTTTTGGACAACTTGATTTTTTTTCTAGAGAAAGCAAGGTAAGAGCAAGCTAACAGGAAACTTAGTATAGCAGAATCCAACTGCAAAATCTGGACATCAGTCACAAAGCCTGGCAACCTCTCAGATGCTTGAACCAGAGCACTGTCACATGGCATTTTTGAATAGTATGATTGATTCTCCTGAAAAGTCTTATAAAGCAACAAGGACAAAAGGTTAGAAGACAAGGAAGAATTAATGGCAATGCAAGCAATGAATATGTGTAAAAAAAGAAATTCTTTCACTGAAGATGGATTGTGAAGTGTGGTCAGAACATTAAAACATAGTAATAACTTTGAGCTTTGGCTCTTTCCTTGAAATACAAAAAACGGAGCAATACTGATAAACTGCTTCTTTTTTTGTCATTCAGCAAATCAAAACACCTAAGACCTGGTTTACTGCAATGGCAAGACCATTAGTACAGATTAAGATGTTGTAGTTTTATGCCTTGCAAGTCAAGTAACCTCTGCAGCAACTCCTGCTGCCATCTCATTGCTAAAGCATGAGTACTGATTACTTTCAAAGACTGTCCTTCAAAGGGTGGCTACAACAGTGATGTTATGCTGCATACAGCTCAAAAAGGATTCAGCCCTCTTAGGAATAGCAATCAAATGCTCACCTGCAAAAGGCAGTCACAGAGTTACTAGATCTTTATTTCACATGTAGGCCCCTCCTTCCATCAATGACCCTGTTACTGCCACTGAACAACCCCCTTTTTCACCACTTAGATTAAACCTAGCCCTTGAACACCTCAAGAAGTGGTTTAAATACCTTTTCATAGACTAGTCAGAAGATTAGGAAAATATGAAAAGTATGAAAGTTCTTAGATATTTTATCTGCACAAATGAGGTCCATCTAGAAATTTGGTACCAGAATTTCAGTTACCTAGATAAAGGATGTGGACCTGGTAGACATCAACATATTTGTCATAAAGAATGGGCAGATTAATCAAGCCTGAGAAAGGAATCTCTAGATCTTTCTACATAAATCATCCAAAGCCCACAAATTGATCAACATTTTCTGAATAAGTATCTGCTGGACAATAGTCTAAAACTTGTCCACCAAGGTAGAACGTTGAGGAATTTCTTGGTTTTCTAGAAACGTTTTTGAAAAACGTTCACACACACACACACACAACTTGTTCAAAATTTATTTGACCCATTCGGTTGGTTGATTAAACAAATATGATGAACTCTGCTTTAATTTCTGCTGTTCTGTGACAGAGTATGGCTCCCTGGATGCCTAAGTATGACAGAACACACAGGTGTGGCATTCCCGTCCTGACACTGGGTTTGTCCCACCCTTCAGCCCTTTTGAGATCAGTAGCTCTGTCTTGAAGAGTTTTCTCCTGAAGAAGTAACTCCTCAGATCTACCTTTGCACAGCAATGCCTTCAATTCACCAAGGTAATGGCTTGCTGCACAGCCCCTCACGTGCACAAATTCCTGAGAAGCACCCCCAGATGACATGGATTCCTGTGAAGCACCACCACTAGATGAAAGAGGTGATGAGAGTACTAGCACGTTGCGGGGCGTAAAAAGTGCTGGACTCATAAGAAAGTCAACAGCTCATGGACTTTCTGTTGACCCACTGTACCAGGGAGGCCTCAGTGGAGCCTTCCCGATTTGGCAAACACTGTCAGTCGGGAGATGGGAGGCATGTATCTGCCGTTGGCAGCAACCATCGAGGGCTGCTTAGTTTGTTTTACGTTGAAGGCATCCAACCGAGGAAGTTCGGACGGGAAAGAAACGCGTGCATTCGCGATACGGCGTTGCTCGCACACATGGCACCGCAGTAGGGCAGTGGGTCGGGAGATGGTGGAGCCCACGGATGAGCGGAGCCCGGAGGGTCGGGCAGGGACGAGCACTTGGGGGTGGGGGGGAGCTCGGGGAAGCGACGCACGTGCGTGGGGCCCCGCGTCGTCCCGACACCACCCCCTCAACCTCCCCTTCTCTCCAAACTCCGCGCTCCGTCCCGCAGTCACCCCCCACCCCACCGCCCCGGAGCGGTTTCCCAGGCGCGGCCCCGGGCGGGCGCGCGCCCGCCGCCCCCCGCGCGTCACCGGGCTCAGCTGAGCAGACAATGGGAGATCAAAGGCGGCGGGGAGGGAGGGAGGCAGGGGGAGGGAAGGACGAGAGGAGGAGGAGGAGGAGGAGGAGGAGGAGGAGGATGGTGCCGGGCGGAGTGGGGGGAACGGCTGGTGGAGCCGGCGGGGCGGAGAGCGGTGGTTGCGTGTGGCGCTGCCTCTCTGCGCTCGATTAGTGTTCCTGGGGAGGGAGCAGGCGAGGCGCAGCCAGGGCCGGCCGGAGGGTGCAGGGGTTGGGGTGGGGGGTGCCGGGAGCGCGCGTGCGAGGGTGTGCGCGGGGGCGCGCGGGCCGGGGTGTGCGCGGGGGCGCGCGTTGTGTGTGTGCGCGGGGGCGCGCGTTGTGCGTGCGCGCCGGGCTGTACGAGGGCGAGCGGGGAGAGCGAGCGAGTTGCGCAGCTGCCGTGCGCGCACCCCCCCGCCGCCGCCGCCGCCGCCGCCGCCAGCAGCAGCAGCAGGAGCAGCAGCAGCAGCACCTCACTGGCATTTAACGAGCGGAGCTGCTAGTTGCGCTGGAGAGAGACGCGCAGGGAGGAGGAGGAAGAAGAAGAAGGAGGAGGAGGAGGAAGAAGAAGAAGAGGAGGAGGAGGAGGAGGAGGGGGGAAAGAGGAGGAGGAGGGAGAGGGAGGAGGAGAAGAAGAAGAAGAAGAAGAAGAAGAAGAAGACGAGGAGGCAGAAGAGGAGGAGGAGGAGGAGGCCAAACGGACACCAACTGAAACAAAAGTATTTCCAAACCAGCACCCAACTCCACCTTGTGAGGGCTCCCCCAGCATGGCTTCCGAGGAACTCTACGAGGTAAGAGCCCCCGAGCCCCGCCGGCCCTGCCCCCGGCCCCGCCGGCCACCGCACCCCACCCCACCCCGCTCGGGAGCCTTTTTGTTGCTCCCCGGGAGCGCCGCCGGGCTTGTCACCCACACTTGCGGCGGGTGCTGCCCCTTCGCGCTGGGCCCGGCGCCTGCGTGTGTGCCCAGCCTGGCCCCCGCCCCCTGCCCTCCCCAGTTTTGCTGGAGGAGGACGGAAATGTGACTGAAAGGAGGAGACGGCAAAGTGTTACCGTGGCCTGCGCTGCCCCCACCTCTCCCCCCACCCCGCCCTGCTCCGTCCTCCCCGCTTTCCCCACGTTCACACAACACTTTGAGTCCAGCAGGAGCAGGGGGGGTGCTGGATGGGGCGAGCGGCGCTGACAGCCCCGGCAGCGAGCACGCCGGAGTGCGAGCCCGGCGCTGTGCAAAAATGTGTGCAAAGCCGAGTTACTGCCTCTGTCCGGCCCGGGGGAGTTGGTGGGAGGACAGGCGGGGGAGAGGGCTGAGGGGCTTTCCTCTTGGATTTGTGTCTGTACCAAAGTCCCTTCGTGCCACCATCGTGTCCCTTGGCCGTGCAGCAAGCTGCGGCGATGCAAAATATTAAAATTTAAACTCCTCCGGCTCTTTCGTGCTCCAACGATACGGTTGAGGTTGCAAGGGAAGCCCCCAAAAGATTGAAAGTTAGGGCTCTGACACGCCACATCCCTCACTCGTCGCTCGGGAGGTGGTCGAAGGGTGTGCTGACGGGAGAGGAAGGTTTTGGGGTGAAGAAAGGAGCGAGGTGACAGCCTAACTTTGAATTTCCTGTCTTATGTGTGGCAATTTCACATCCTTGCCCTTAATTGAAAAGCATCATGGTTCTCTTGGATTGAACTTCCTTGTTTTTATTTTTACAAGAAGTCATCCCTGGGAGTGAAAAGCTGTTGTCGTTTTGGACCCGTTCTTGCCTTTTGGGTAAAGAAGTGGCCACCCAAACCCAAAAATGCTCTTATCTTGTAGTTAATATGCATCCAGGCAGTGATCTATTTTAAAAAAAAAAAAAAATATATCCAGAGGCTGGAACTCTAAGGTCAAGGGGAGAACAGACAGCCTTCAGGACACTTGACAGAAGATGTCTTACTGTACTGTTGGTGCACATGTATCTCTTGTTAATGGAGTTACATGCCAGTGAAAGGTGCCCCTGGTGGGCTTATATTCTAAGCAAGTTGACTGCCAAGCAGAGGTGCTGAACTGATAGACTAGAAAGAAGATTGAAGGCCTGTATTCCCAAGACAGATAAATCATAGTTAATTGCTTTGGCAAGTTTCCCCATCCTCGTAATGTGGCTTAAGCCAATCTTGAAGGGATCATCCCTGGAAGTAGGAGAGAAATTTAGAGACCACTCTGCATCCTAAGGGATTGCCAAAAACTTGCTTTGACTTCGGAAAAAGTTCTGTTGGGTTTGTGGAGTTTGGCCCATAAACTCTGATGGGACCAGTACTTCCTCTAAGCGTTTGATCAAAGATGGACAACAGGATATTGGCTTCCACAGGCATAAAGAAATGACTAGAAGAATTCTATTTGCTGGGCATTGGGCTGAAGTTAAGAGTGACCATTGTGCATGACTCTTCTTGTTTGTCTCAAGTTGTGTTCAAGTAGTCTCAGTAGTCTGTTGAGCATGGTCGTCCTCACTTGGCAGGTGATGGCTATAGGGCAAAATCCTCTTTCACAAGCCACCTGAAGAGATAAACTACTTCTTTAATTTTAAAAATTAGATGTATTCTTTAATCGTCTAAGTGCGAAGTTTGTTTGAGATACCGAAGTTGTTAATGCATTTGGACTGGGATGTGGTCAAGCTGTCTCTTTTTTCTTGATTGCTCACTTTTGACAAGTTTTGTCTCATAATGAGTTTTCTAGCCATGTTTGAAAAAATAATAAAATAATAAATAATTTAAATGCAGTGAGCACTAATTTGGGAAGGACATAGCTGCAGGTTGATGTGAAATGTTAACTGTTTAGTTAACTATTAGTGAACTGCCCAGGGTATTGACTGGGGCTTTATTTGTGTTTCATGGCTGTTTTCTTTATAGTTCATGCCATACAATATTCTTTGAATCTGGTGTTTGAAATCCAGTGCCATTTGTTATACCTTCGTTTTTCCTTCTGAATCTTGATCTGATGTCTTGATCAAAAAAAGTGTATAATCTATTTGTAATTGTTAGCCTAAGTATGAATGCCAGCTACTCCTTGTGGTATCTGTGTCATGGTTCTTCCAAAATACAAATAAAAATTCCTCTTATAGGAAATGAAGGTAAGTTCCTTTTTTTTTTTTTTTTTTTTCAGGATTCACTTGTTTATGGGATTATTTTTACTCTGGATATCATATCTCAAGAGAGGGAGCTGTTCTCTATATAGGCCAGTGATTTGGAATTCAAAGACTGAGACCTTGAACTATATGAACAGGCTGGAAGGATGACTGTTGGTGTAGCTGTATATCCTGTGTGCTGTTTGTTCCTGGGCTGTGTATCCTCCATGTCATTTGTTCCTGAGCATTTTAGAGGTTGTGGTAGTTTTTTTTGAGCGGGTAGAAGATCTGAAGACAATATGGAACTTTATTGAGAAACATTAAAGAGACTCTTTTTTCTATATGGAAAATGAAACAATTGGTAATGTTGCCAGCCTCTATAGGTGAGGCGAATAACAAAGTCTTTCTGTTTGTAAGTTTGGTTCTTCAAGTGACTGTGTTTCTTAGTGAGGTGGACAGACATGGAGAAACTGGTGAACAAGACAGGTAAAGAAAAACATAAGAAAAGGTGCTATCGTGTTTTTATTTCCACAAGTTTGTTTCAATAGGCATTGACATCTTATGGCATCTCTCTTCATATGTGCGTTAGTGTGGTTTCTGGAAAGTCCTTTGTACATCCCTTTGGGCAAATAGTAGGACTACTTTCTTTTTCGTTGTGACAACTTTCACTACTGACTGTTTACCACCAATTGAAACTGTGTTGCTTATTCTCATCATCTTCTCTGGAGTAATTAGAAGTAGGGTATCCACCTCATTTAGAAGGTTATTTTGAAAGCAAACTATGTTTGCTCTCACTGCAGTCAAATCCCTTGACCTCCTTCGGCAAACTCTTGTAGTGATGTCTGGGATTGAAGTCATTCTGAGCTGTGGTTGGCATGACATGTTTGTTGGATGAAATGTGGAAGTGATTCCATACAAGTACTCTCCAGGACAACTGTGCGTTGGCCAGTAGGTCAGACGTACCAAATGACAGCTGGTAGACAACTACTAATGCTGTGCTGAGTTTGGAAGAGTCTCTTTGTCATAAAATTTAATACCTTTTTTTGTATTAGGTGTGGCGGAAATGCAGTGAGGTTCTCTGTCTGAGGGTAGTTAAAGTACCAAGTGTTTCTGTCTTTCCTCTAAGGATTACTGGTACAGGTGATGGTATAAATGGCCCATTGGTTTAATTTATGTAACCATAGTTAGGCTTGGGCCATGGTTGCTAGTCATATCACAACATTTTTACTGGGTTTTACCAAGAAGTAAGCAAAACAGTTTGTGTGAACTTTGGAAGTACATCTATGCATCAATGCCTTTTCTTCACTCTGTGTTTCACCTTGACATTGCTCATAAGCTTAGAGTTTTAAGGTGACTTAATCGATTTCCATAAAAATATGACACGTTAACATACTTGAAGTCTGGTAGTTCAAAATTATACATTTTTGTATGTTTCATAAAATGGAAAATGTCTTCTTTTTTTTTTTTTTTTTTAAATTCTTCAAGTGTTTTGCAAAATACATATGCATTTTTTTTGATCCTGGTGTCTGGTATTCTCAAGGTGATTCTTCACTTCCTATGATGATTCAGTATTTTTGGTTTTATTTTTAGAGCTAAGGCCTTTGACATTAAATTATACAGATACAATGAAATTACAAACTGAAACAAATTTAAGGAGCAACTGACTGAAGTTCTATGGCCTTGCATTAAGATATATGTCAGGTTTAATCACCTAATAAGTAAGACTCAAAGACACATTCCAAGAAAATTTAAACTTTGTGTATACAGTAGCAGCCACAAGTCAAAAAAAGTGATCCTGTGTGTTGTTCTTCATCTACTGGGCTAGTTTTTGAAATGATAGAGTGTAGAAAATTGGAGGAGAAATGCTGTCATTTTGCTGAAAATTTGATACTGCATAGGAATTACCCACTTAAACCCAAAGTTTCTCTCTAGCCCAAGTAACACTGCAGCAATCGAACCTTCATCATGTTTTGTGTGCATTTACTGGGAAGTTTAAACATTTGTTTTGTTAAAGTTAACTGAAAGGGTAAATCCATTATCTACAGTACACAACTTGGAGTTTGTTGTAATTTCTTATAGCTATTTGTTGAAAAATTGCTATTAACAACAAATCAGAATTGGCTGTTTGGACAAAAGCCATTTTTTCCTCATTGAAATGTTTTTTTTAATTCAACCTGTCTTGCAGGAAGTCCAAATTGTCTTGGGATCCATCTTCTGCTGCTTGTCTCTGATGTGCTGATTCCCAAGATCTTGGTTAAAGATCTTGTTCATAAAGGGGGTCTTATAGTCATTGAGATGTAATACCTGAGTTTTTACAATTTTATTTTGACAATTGGTGCAAATGTTACTGCTTGTTTCAGGCAAAGTAAAAGACTTGCTTGACTGACCCTATCCAACTAAACAAGACTAGGAATTTACATTAGACCTGTTTGTGTTGCTTTCACCCCTTAGGAACTATACATCTGACTTAAAATAAGAGTTGAGGAATAACTGTTCTTCCCCCATTGGTGACTTTCACTTCTTTAAACCAGATCACAAATGCAAGAGCACTGCAGGAATGGAGCCATCATATTTAGTGCAAGAAGCTTGACTTTTCAATGTCCCTTGCCAAGCTGCTTTTTGCCAGCTTGAGTTAGCCCCAGAGCTCTGGACACAATTAGGAAGGTCTGGTGCCCCATCTTCTGCTGCTGCCACAGGGGAAATGCCTG